ACATAAAAGGGTACGGTCTTTTTTTTTTTTTTTCTAGTTTTATTCATTTCAAACGGGCCGGATCATGCCTGTGGGCCGTAGTTTGCCCACGGCTGCCCTAGACTCTAGGCCCCATCCTGCAGCCCATGGCCCACAGCTATCTCCACTTCCCGTCGCATTTCAAGTTTCATCCTACAGTGGGAGGGAGATCATGTGGGCACTCCAGAACATACAACTAAGCGACATCTATCTATACAGCACACACACAGAGAGCTGCCCCTAAACCACCTCCTGGGATGAGCATGTACAGATCAGCAGAGCAGAGCAACCTGGAGGAAGGGAAGGGAAAACTCACAGGCCCTGGAAGTAGACACAAGTCTGTGAAAGTCAGAAATTTCAGGGAGAGAATTATCTAGAGTTGGGGGATGGTGCAGGCTCTGGGTGGTCCCTTGGTACCATAGATATATCACTATGGAGAGTGGTACAAATGGAAGAGGGCCAGAGTAGAGCCCCTAAAACACAGGTAGCAGGGTCCAGGCTTTCATTTCCTGTTCTAAGAATGGGACTAAATATGGAAGTCCAGAAGCTTTCATGGAGGGTGTGTTCTACTACAAGAAGGTATAACAGTTTAAATATTAAATATTTAAATACCTAAGATAAATTATTTTCAAGATTAAATTGGCTTATTACCACCCTTCTTTTCAGCCCAAGAAAAATAACATGACAGCTTATTATTTACTCAAAAATTACTAAGTTCTTAGAAACTAAAACTTCAGAACTTAGCTATTGATTTGAGTTAGCAAAATGAGTACTAACATTTATTTATCATAATAGTTTTTGTTATTGGAAAGACTCAAGACAGCTTCCTATTCAATGCATACCCAGCTGAATCCTTTTGCAAATTCTGGTCTGGACTCTCTCCTTGCTCATGGGTCCTGTCAGCCTGGGTAATAAAAGCACTTTCATTATTACCTGGGAATTAAAAACACATGGGCACAGAGAGCAGCTTGTTCAGTGTTTACCAGCATACCACTGTGTTACACATATGCATAATAAATACTTCAGTACATGCCAAAAAATTATTAACAGTAATTACCTTTGAGGAAAAGGAATTTCAAAGAAGGAGAAAAGAGAAGTACATGTCATTTAATATCTTTCTATAACTTTCTTAATAATATGAGGGCTGTGGGATTATGAGCCATTTTGGTTTTCTTCTTTTTATATAAATACTAGAGGCCTGTTGCATGAAAAGATTCATGCAATAGGCTTTCCCTTCCCCTAGATGCCGGCACTGGTTTTCTTCCAGCACCCAGGACCCAGGCCTTCACTCTGGCCAGAGCCTCCTTCAAGCCTTGGATGCTCTGGACAGAGCCACCTTCAAGCCTTCGCTGCCCTGGGCCGGGTCGCACACGGGGTGCCCGCTGCCCCGGGTCACAGATAGCAGGCCCAAATGGCGGCAGGGCAGGTAGGATGGCGCTGTCCCACCCCACCGCCCCAGGTGGCAAATAGCAGGCCCAGATGGGGGCAGGGCAGGCGGGATGGCACTGTCCCACCCTGCCTACAGTATGCAAATTAGCCGCCATCTTTGTTGGCAGTTAATTTGTATATCGCACTGATTAACCAATGGGAGGCATAGCGAAGGTATGGTCAATTACCATGTTTGTCTATTATTAGATAGGATATATAAAATTGTCTTTAGTATCATTAAAACGCATTTTTGTGCTTAAATGATATGAAATTTTTTAAACCTTTACCAGTGGTTCTCAACCTTCTGGCCATTACATACAGTTCCTCATGTTGTGACCCAACCATAAAATTATTTTCATTGCTACTTCATAACTGTAATGTTGCTACTGTTATGAATCGTAATGTAAATATCTGATATGCAGGATGGTCTTAGGCGACCCCTGTGAAAGGGTTGTTCGACCACCAAAGGGATCATGCATGACCCACAGGTTGAGAACCACTGCTTTAGACAATTACCAAAATTTAATAAATAAATAAAAAGAATGCTGCTATCAACTGTTTGTATGAGAAGTATCCTTGGCAAATCCCATTTTTCCTTCTTCAATATAGGGAATGGTTTGAGCTGTGGAATCTTTCTGTAGGTACTAGATTTCGCTGAAGCTAATTAGTCCTGCCATCTATAATATCTTCTTATTCCCAGGACAGGTCCCTGAGCACCAGAATATGCTAAAAATAATACAAGTCTGCTGCCACTGGAGTCACCAGACTCCCATGGCTACATCCTCAAGAAACACCACCTGCTATCAAATCTCTGAGTAATGGACAGACCTAGAGGATACCCTGCTCAGTGGAATAAGTCAGATAGAGAAGGATAAATTCCGTATGATTTCAGTTACATGTGGAATCTAAAAACTGAAATAAAACAACACAGAAATAAACTCATAGATACAGACAACAAATTAATGGTTGCTAATGGCAAGGGGGTCGGGAGGTGTATGCAAAATAGGTGAAGGGGATTAAGAGGTACAAACTGCCGGTCATAAAATTAGTAATGTACGTCATAGAAAATATAGTCAATAAAATCATAATAACTATGTGTGGTGACTGATGGTTACTAGATTTATCATAGTCATCACTTCATGAGGTACATAAATATTTGATCACTATGTTGTATACATGAAACTAATATAATATTGTATGTCATATCTATAATAATAAAAGCGTAATGTGCTAATTAGACCGGACAGCTGAATGGCCTTCCAGATGTCATTCCAGACGTCCTTTTGGATGAAGCTGCCATGGCAGGGGCCAAAGCAGAGGTGGTTAGGGGAAATCAGGCAGGAAGGCAGAGTGGTTAGGGGTGATCAGGCAGGCAGGCAGAGGGGTTAGGGACAATCAGGCAGGCAGGCAAGCAGTTAGGAGTAATGAGGCAGGCAGGCAAGTGGTTAGGGGTGATCAGGCAGGCAGAGGGGTTAGGGACAATCAGGCAGGCAGAGTGGTTAAGAGCGATGAGGCAGGCAAGCAGAGTGGTTAGGGGTGACCAGGCAGGCAGGCAGGCAGGCAAGTGGTTAGGAGCCAGCAGTCCTGTGGGATCAGGTCTAAACTGGTGATCAGACATCCACTGAAGGGTCCCGGATTGCAAGAAGGTGTAGGCCGGGCTGAGTTCCCACAACATCCCCCCACCCCCACCCCCGGGCATGAATTTCATGCACTGGGCCTCTAGGAATTAAATAATAATAATAATAATAATAAAAATCTCTGAGATCCTGCTCAATGTCATAAAACCCTGCTATTTGGACATTACTGAAGAAGTCTTTCAAGCAATCCAGAGTGTCTTTCATTCATCTGTGCTCCTGATAATGAGGGCATTGGTATATTTCTGTTTAAAATGAACACTGAGTTTCAACGTGTTTCTAATGTCTAATGCATTGGCTACAGTGAAGTTCAATTAGCTGACCTTAACATGGAATTAATTTTAAGAACAAACTTTTCTTAAATCTAAAAAAAAAGAAGAAGACAAAAAGAATGCCTAGGCAAAGTTTCAACCTTTCTTGCTCTGGTACCAATGCACCTTTGTCACCTTTTGTAGTTCATGAACCTCTATGGTCTCATTTTCTCCATCTGGATTTCAGAAAGGTGATAGTGCTTGTGACTTCCAGGATATTAGACTGAGAAGCCATATGTGAAAGCAAGCTAGAGACTAAATAGGGTTAGCACAGGGGAGAGAGAACCTTCAGGGAAATGCTCCTTTTTTTTTAAATCTTAAAGGGGCTTCTCACACTCAAGGTTAGGAGTTGTTTGTTTTGTTGTTTGTTTTCAATGTGGGGGGTAATTTTTGTTGTTGTTCATCTTCACTCAAGGATATTTTTCCATTGATTTTTAGAGAGAGTGAAAAGGAAGGGGGAGAGAGACAAGGAGAGAAAGAAACCTCGAAGTGAAAGGAACACATCTGATTGGTTGCCTCTGGCACACGCCCCGAACAGTGCTGGGGATTGAGCCTGTAACTGAGGTATATGCCCTTGGCCAGAATCGAACCCAGGACGCTTCAGTCAACTGGCCCACTCTCTATCCACTGGGCAAAACCCGCTAGGGCAATATGTGCAGGTTTTTAAACTTTAACTATTGACAGGTTTGTTTGTTGTTTGCTATTTTTGTTTTACTCCTCTTTTAGAAACCATGTACATGCAACACCCTTTTTTCAGCAACATTTTTAAAGCTTAAACAGAATTTACCAAATATATTCCAATAATTGTTACTAATCACCAGGTGTGAAATAAAAATAGTTGAATGTATTTTTATCATATCATCAGAAATTTTAGAATATAACTAACTGATTGCTACTGGCCGTAAACTCAGTTACCATGGGTTTCAATGGCTGGGGGTATTTACAAGAGCATTCCAGATTCACACACTGTCCTGCCCTGCATGGGAAACAAAACCTGCTGTTATTGTCACTGGGCACTGGGTGTCAGTAACTTGACCTGGATTTGGAGGAAGGAAGGAGAAGATGGAGGAGGCGACCGCAGGAAGGGACACAATTTAAATGTTGCTGTGAAAGGAGCTGTCAGGGCATCATTGAGGGAGGGGAGGAGGGGATGCTGCAGCCCTGGAAGGGGAGTTGTCCTGGGCAGCCAACCATGGAGGAGGCCATGGAGAGTTGGGCTTTCCCTATGTCTAGCTCTTTTGTTACTGAGTCTCCCAGCTGTGAATGCCCTTCAGGGAAGAAGCAACAAGTAGCAGGCTGATGCTGCTTCTGATGGTGGTGAGAGGAAGGCAGAGGGCTCAGGCCCCTCTTTCCTAGATATTTGTTGCCACCTGCAGACTTTCTTTTAATGAAATCTGGACCCTGTTAGGAGCTAGGACTTTAACCTTGTCCACCAGCCCTCCCCCTGCACTGAGCACTTCCCATCTGAATGCCCAGCAGCCAGGCTCTGGGTCCCTGGCCGTCTGCCCATCCTGGCCTTTCCCTTTTGTTGCCCTAAGGGCTGTGTGTTATGAGTCAAGTCACTGGGCAACCAGGTGCCTTCAGAAAAGTCCTCTCTGGCAGCTACTGTTCATTCCAGCCAAAGCAGCAGAGAAAGCAGGGCATAGGGCTCAGGGGGACCCATTCCCGCCTTATACCAGCCCTGGACAACTGATCAAGCTCCCATAGAATATTCACATTGAATATTCTATGGTGGCTGGGTAGATACCACCTCACCTCTTGCTCAGGTGAGAGCTGGTAGCTCCTCCCTGTTCAATGTGCATCTCAATGCCTTTTCTCCAAGCAAGTTTTGCAATAAAAGAGCTGTCACTGTGAACAGGTGGGACGGGAGTGACAGCTCCTTCACTTGCTGCTGTTGCTGCGGCTGGCGCTGGGACAGGAGACAAGACAGGTGAGACCTGCGCCTCCTTCTGTCAGGGAAGGTTCTGAACTAAGGTAATGCTTTTCATTAAAACCTGGGGCTTTGTGGTTTCAGGCACTTGCAATAGTGAAAGTATTCTTTTCTTTCTAACTGCTTTCCCTCTAGGCCATAAAAGCTCTTTTTTTTCTTTTCTTCTTTAAAATTTCCAAGCTCCTCTCAGGAGTTGCTACACCTTCTGATTGAGACATCGCTCCTCATTTGCAAACCTTAGTTGTGTCTGGGGGCAGGGCTGCGGTGGAGCTGCCAGGAGCAGAGAGAAAGGTTCCCAACTACTAGCCCTACATCAGACATCGGAAACTGGGGACAGATCAATCTGGGAGGTGACAGACACCAGGAGGCTCCCTCCTCAAAGGACATTTAAGAGACATTTTCTTTCGTTGGTATATTTTGCATGGTTTGGCGTCTAAAGCACATCTGAGAACAGGTATGATGGAGCTGAACTTTCCTTTCTTTGAGGAGTCTGTGGATTCAGGTCTATGTGTTGTGGTGGGGTGCGGGGGCGGGGGGGAGCATCCTATTGGAAATCCAGGTGCATGGATCTCATGGCCACGTAGGCTGCAATGAGGATGGTCCAACAGGCATTTGGAACAGGCTTGATTTTGGAATGCAGTGGATCTGATTACTTCTTGGCAGCTTCTCTTTCCTAATTATGTTTGGCTTAGTCTAGCAGTCAATTTACTTTGCAATCCCTAAGTTGATCCAGAAAGCATACAGAGGGGACAGAGAGAAGACTGTCTAAAAAGCAGACTGGGTGGTGGGGGAGTGGGGGAGGAGTGTTCTGGTTGGGAATGTTCCTCATTGAATAATTCACAACCCAACCCAAAGAAAGGTGACTGCATATTAAACCTTGGCCCTTTGTTAAGCCCAAAAAGCTAGATGTACCAAGCTTCTTTAGGAAGGATATAGTGCACCCTTTCAAGTGTTTTGCTCCCTAAATGTAGCTCAAGAGGAGATATGACAGGTATTTTGCATCAATTTCATTGGAATATAAAATTTCTCATAATGAATATATGTTCTGGTTCAGAGCTTTAGAAATTTTCTTAAGTCTAGCATCAATACTCTGCATTACATCAGTAAAGGGACGCCTTGATCATTGGCGTTCCAATCTGAATGTGGCAATTCCACCAGAGCAAAGCTAAAGTTTTCCCTTTTATGATTTAGGAACAAGTGAGTGCATACAATTTAAGACTTTAAAGAAAATAGCAAGCAGAATAGTGAACCTGGTCAAGATAATGAACTGGTTCTTCTGATGGCTTTATAGAATTTGTTATTCAGCTGAACATATATTCATAAATTATTAAGTAACTCAGCCACTTATTAAATCAACTTTAAAAAATAAAATAATATCTAAGTTGAAGGGCCTTATGCAGCAAGTATAATGATTAGGGCGTGTATATATTCCAATGATATTAAAGTTCAGACACTGCTAATAAAATCCGGTCAACCTCAACCTTACCAAGTGAAAGTTAATTGAGTTTTATGATTAAAAGTTGAAATATAAAGGAAGAGCAATATGTAATGTTTGGGAATGTGGCGGGGGTGGGGGGAGCATCCAATTATTTGGGAAACAACTTTTGGTCTTCTCCCTCCAAGGATGAAATGTAGCATGGTGAGGTCAACTAACAACCAATTGTATTGAGATTTTAGCTACTATTTTAACAGTACATTTTTGGTGAATTGAATTTATTGCCTGGAAAATTATTCAGCCATAGGTTCTCCATGATGTAGTACTAGGCAGTGGTCAAAAATTCCTATTTCCTCTGCTTTCAAGTCAGCTATTTCACCTATCCAAGCTCAAGATCATCTATAGCCCACTGGAATGGTTGAGGGTTGACCTATGACCTAGGAGGTCACTATTTGATTCCTGATCAGGGCATATGCCTGGATTGCAGGCTCAATCTCCAGTGTGAGACATGCAGGGGATAGCCGATCAATGATTCCTTCTCATCATTGATGTTTCTATCTTTCTCTCCCTCTCCCTTCCTCTCTGAAATCAGTAAAAACATGTTTTTAAAAGAGATTATATATAAAATGGAAGTGATAGTACTGATTTCATAGGAGTGTCAGGAAGATTAAATAAGGTTAACACATAGAAAGCACTATCAGAGTAGCCAGAACATAGTAAGTGCTGAATAAATGGTTTTATATATACAGCTTATACCCATACACCCCTACAGTATGCATGTTTCTTGCATTTTGATCATTTTCTGATCCTACCACCTACTAGTAGAAGCAAGAGGTCAAATACATGGGATCCTGCTAGTACAATAGCAGGTCTGCTGACTTACCTAAGGAAGAGAAGATGAATTTTAACTGACGTTTGGTAACATGAGTTCACTCTGTTCTTGTCTTCCAATAAAAAAAACAGTCAAGAAATAATTACTTTTTATTTGGGGTGATGAGTAATCTAGTAGATGAATCAGCCTCCTCAAGTATATATTATTAGTCTCCCTCAATTTTAATTTTATGTATAGTTACTATGAAGTTTCTACATCAACTTCCTGAGAATCCCATCTGAAACCTATGATTCAAATTAGTTGTAATTCACATTCAAAAAATGTTTGCACTTTCTTTTATTAGAATTAGAAAATACTCACTTTATTTGTGCACAATGGGCTGGCCAAGCTGTTTTGGGACACTCTCTTCCACTAACCAGCAGTGGGGGCTCAGACAAGTCACACCCAACATCCCTGAGCTTCCCTTTTCCTTGCACCAAACCCGGTGATATCCCAGGTTGTTTCTCTCTGGTTTGAGAGTTCTAGTTCTAAGTTTATTTTTTATTTCATTTCTAATGTCAACGCATAAAATAATTTTCAGAGCCACTTTCTTGACTTTCCAAAAAGTGCTGGAGAAACCAGCTTACAAAATGTGAATTCATCAAATTTTTAAAAAGATAAAAAAGAAAGACAGAAACCACACCCATTGCTGCAGTAAGATAATCTCTAAAACAAACTTGGTTGTGCCAAACAGGAGTTTCAAGCAAACTTCCATAACTCTGAAGGAAAAAAAATACGGTAAGGGAGTGGGGAGTGGAGAAATTTTTGCACACACACACATACACACACACACACCAAGAAATTAAAAGAACTCTATCTCATCAGATAGGAATCTCCACCAATCCAAGCTGATTCTCAGGCCAGGAAAAACTACTTCCTCCCCTCCAAAACTAATGTGATATTTCATAAATTAAATTATAATTGTGAAGTAGAAATATATATATATAGAGAGAGTTATCTAGTTTTTTCTATTTCCTTTTTTAAAAAATATATTTTATTGATTTTTTTACAGAGAGGAAAGGAGAGAGATAGAGAGATAGAAACATCAATCAGCTGCCTCCTGCACACCCCCTACTGGGGATGTGCCTGCAACCAAGGTACATACACTTAACTGGAATCGAAGCTGGGACCCTTCAGTCTGCAGGCTGATGCTCTATCCACTGAGCCAAACCAGTTAGGGTGCTTTTTTCTACTTCTTTCCTCCAGAGAAACACAATAGTTTATCAAATATGTAAATGTTCATGATGCTTCAAATGGGCTCGCTTTTAACAAGTCAAGTGGATGAAATCGAAAAATAGATTTTAAAATATTACACTCATATACAGCTTCTACATTTTTATAATTTGCTTTCAAATACTGATGATCCTTAACTTTTTTCTTTTTTAATGTTCATCACATTTGCCCCAACAAACCTTTACATAAGCCAAGGGACATTAAAGGGGGAAACTGTTTCCCGTTCGTTCCTCCGTGCTTTGGTTTGGATTGCCACGCACACCTGTCCTACAGCTGAGAAAGGGATTGTCAAGAGTAGAAATGACCCGCCAACTCCTTCATAGACACTCAAACAATTAACTTCAGCAACACCCATGTCTTTCCAGTTCTTCCACACTCTCATGTGCCTCAGGCAACCTCCCATCAGCCAAGTCCAGATGGTGCAACCTCTCTTGAAATACCCTCCTAAGGATATCTACTGGTCAAGTGGGTTGGGGGAAGAGTCTCAGGTTCCCCTAATATCTGGAAAAGTGCTTTTCTCTCTCCAGTTCAAACATGCTAGGTAGGAAGAGGAGAAAAAACAAAGGAGGAGGAAATAGAGAGACAGGAAGCTTGAAGCAGAAGTTTGGGTTATAATTAGTGTTGTTGGTGCAGATGTCTGTAGGTGTGATCACTTCAGCAATAATGAGGACATGGGCACAGAGCCATCTTTAAGTACAGGAACAACGTTTACTGTGGTGAAAAATGCACCCTTCAAACAATGTATCCATTAAGAATCAATGTATCTGATTTTAAGTTTTATAAAAATCCTTCCCAACCAAAACATTTTCAAACCCATTAATGACTACAGTACTGAAAATTAGTTGAATTTAGACTATAGATCAGCATACATGGAACTTGGATGATAAAAAAAAATAAATGAGCAAGATTTTTCTTAATAGTCTTACTCCCTTGAAGAGCTTAAGATGGCTTTTGTTATTATCTATATGCTAATATCTCTTAACCTCTTTTTTTGCTGCTTATTTGGGTAATTGCAGTAGATTTCTCATTGGGTTGTAGTGAAGATCCCATGAGTTAATATACATGAAGCACTTAGAACAGTGAGTGGCAGGAAAAGGCATTCATTCAATAAAGTAAACTTCTACTGCTACTATTATTGTAACCTTAATATCAATATAATTAAAACAAATATTCTTATTTTAGAACCAAACGAGTTGCCCATAAGCAGTTACCACTATTCTTTAAAACTCACAAAAAAAAAAATCAAAAAAAACTTCTAGATATTCTTTACTCTTCCTACATAGAAAGTACTAGTTTTCATGTTTTCCTGTAGTAGAAATATTTCATCTATGGTATCTTGTAAACCATTTTTGAAAAACATGTATAGACTGAAAAGGTGCAGAATCTAGATATCACATCTTATGAAAAATTGCCTTAAAAATTGAGTGGATTTAGAGAAGAGAGAGGATGAAGGGGGCATGATTATAGTCTACAAAAACTGAACTAACAGGCCAGGACCAATTTGTAAATGTATTTTTTAATATTTTATTTTTCAGTTACAGTTCACATTCAAAACTGTTTTGTATTCATTTCAATTGTGACGCATAGTGGTTAGACAATCAGATGTTTTGCAGAGTAGTCCCCCCAATATTTTAAATACCCACCTGGCACTATACACAGTTATTACGATATTATTGACTGTATCCCCTACGCTGTACTTCACACCTCCCTTGGCTATTTTGTTCAATGTACCTTAAAAATTAAATGGTCTCCGGGTAAAGAAAGTGTGCTTTGAAGCTACAAAGGTTTTTCCGCATGTGTTGATATTTTAAGATATGTTTTTGCCTTTGGTTCTTGGCAAGTAATTTTAGCAAGTGATTAATCCATCAGTTTACAAATAGGTTAAGTACCAAAAAGAATACCCAGATAAACAAAATAGGATACATGTAAATAATTTTTCTTGTTTCTATTTGGCCTCTGGGCTCTCCATCATGCCTGTAGATATTTATTTGCCGGAAAGCCAGAATCTACCTTCTCTGTCTGTTTTCCACTCACCAAAAAGGATAGCCTTGTACTAGAAGAAATCTTGGTATAACCACATGCCTGGTAACACATCCGCGTTTTCACATGGCTGTCCGTGTGAACAATTGCATTTTGCATTGCATTTCTTGATCATCGTTAATAGATTATTGTAATTGTTCTTTTTAAGCAAGCTCACCAAAGAATCGTTTTCTTATAGAATAGAAAACAGCCATTCTCTTTCATAAAACGGTTTTTAGTAAAAGGGCCAAAGAGAAATTAATGAGGACAAACACTGAGGGACACTTTCAAATGAACTTTGCAATGTGGTTCACACCTCTCCTCCCAGCTTTTCCTCTACACATCCACTCCCAGCATTCTCATTTATTCTTAACCTCGTCACTACTAAAACTCCAAACAACTTCTCTAATTCTAGTGTTTTTACCTGCCTCCAATACACTGTACTCAGTATCATCTCCCTTGTCAATCTCCTGCCTGCAAGAAATATTTTAAATGTTCCATTTATAACAGAATAGAGGCCAAACTTCTGTGTGCCTAGTGCTTCTTGATCTGGTAACAACATACCTTTTAATTTTTTTTAACCTGTATTGTCTCTCATAGCCTTTGGCTCCAGCTAAACCAAATATTTTCTGTTGTTCAAACTCAGAAAATCTTAATTCCTTGGCTCATTTTGCCCCCTCTCCTTGGAATGACCTTTCACAATTTTTTCTGCATGTGATCCAACCTATCTATATCCAGAAAAGCTGGCAGATGGAGGTTTATATCCGTAAGGAGTTTATTATTTTTCTTGTGCAAAAACAAGTCCAGACATGACTATCCAGTAGTGGGCATATGATTTCACAGAACCATGGGGAGCCCAGGCTACTTTTAGATTTTAATCTTCTGCTTCTTGCCTCATGTTTGCAAAATGACTGCTCCATTGCCAACACCACATCAATATTCCAGGCATGAAGAAGGGGAAACATCATGTGGCAGCTAAGTCTGCTTATTTTTAAATTGTTCTAAATTCAGCAACTTTCAGATATATTTCATTGACCAGTATCATATCACACACTAACCTTGGCTACAAAGAGAAGATGTAAAATATAGCAAATTACTAGTCACATGCTTGTGCTAAAGAATGAAGGAGGAAAAGCCCTAGCCAGTTTGGCTCAGTGGATAGAGCATCGATCTGCAGACTGTAGGGTCCCAGGTTCAATTCCAGTCAAGGGCATGTATCTTGACTGCAGGCTCCTCTCTAGCCCTAGCTCTGGTCAAGGTTTGTGCAGGAGGCAACCAATGGATGTGTTTCTCTCACATCAATATTTCTGTCTGTCTTTCCCTCTCTCTTCCACTCTCTAAAAAAAATCAATGGAAAAATATCCTCAGGTGAGGATTTAAAAAAAAAAAAGAATGAGGGAGAAATAAAATAAGATGGAATGAGCATGCATTCAGTAACATTGATCACAAAGTCTTTACAGCTTACTCAAATTGCCATTTTCTCCAAGGTGGTGTCCTGGAGCCTCTCAGACAACTATGAATGCCATTTCTGCCCAGACTTATTTTTTATTGACTTTCATAATTATCTTGCTTTTCCCTGCGGTCTAGAACTTCATGGTGATCTTTGTACCCACTACTGCAGCAGGCACAAAGATACTTAGTATATATTTGAATAGGTTTAACCTGATATCTGAGGAGGAAAAAGAGGGCCGTTTTCTGTAGTTAAGCGTGGTTCTATTCCACTTTAGTGAAAGCATGACTTAGGTAACTTGACCAAGGACAGGCAACCCTTTGCCAGATATTGCCTACAGCCTATTTTTCTACAGCCCATGAGGTAAGGATAGCTTTTATATTCTTACAATGTTTGGAAAAATAAAACAAGAATAGGCAACAGGTACTGTATGTAGCCTACAAGCCCTGAAATATGTACTATCTGTCCTTTTACAAAAATTATTGCCAACCCCTGACTTAGATAAAATTTACTACACTTTCCCACTTTGTCCATGTGTACCATGTGTGATTTAATGGCCTGGTTACACTATGCCAGACTGACTGGAACCATCACTGTCCTTGGAAACCATTCTTATGAGAAAACCTGCCAGCTGCCCCTTCTATCAGGAAAACTAAATTCCCTACTCATTCTGCAGAGAAACTGACATTGGGACTTCCTGAGGGCCTCTTTTTCAATCTGAGATAAATACCCAGGTTTGAACTAAATTAGATTTTTTATGATTTTTTAGGTAACAGCGCTCTCCTGTTGCTATATAAATTATTAAGAGAAAATAGATGGGAGTTCCCACGTGGGAATAAGCATGAGTCCCAATGAATTGTATTTTCCTTTTCATCATTAGATAACTTTAGAGGGATTATCTAAATGAAAAAAAGAGGCCTTTTTTTTGTCTTGGCCCTCCTTCATAACCTGACTACATTATCCAAGCTAATGAAGTATATGTAAAACAATCACCTAAACGCTGTTTTATTTTAATGTTGTGGGAAGTATTTTTTAAGTTCTTTTAATGATGTATCAAGTTTTCCTATATATAAGTTTAAGAAAGATGGAGAGCTATTTAGTCTTGCTTGTCACTGAACCCTCCATTGACAATTGCTGTGCCTGGTACATAGAAGATACTAGTTAAGCAATCACTCTGCGTGTGTGTGTGCCTCCCCTTCATCCCAAGACAATGAAGCTTTGTTTCTATTGTCACATGCCACCTTCTATTAATGATGACCTAATTATAGCATGAAAGAAATTAAGAAGTTCTACTTCTTCAGTATAAATTCTATTTCTTCCATCTAAGTTTAGCTTCCTGGAGAATGACATATGAAGAAAGTGAGATTTAGAACATTGATATAATTTCTGAAGGTCAAATTTATAGCCATGATTGGAGTCAGAAGCAACACTGAGGTGCTCAGTCCACAGCACTACACAGGTCCTCAGGTTTGGGTAGTGCTGGGTGCAAAGTAAGCCTGCTCTCTCACTTGACTCCCTTTCCCGCCAATACTGCATCTTCTCAAATTTGGTGGCTTTCTTCATGAAAAGAAGCAATGCATTCCCAAGGAAAGCCATGAACATGCTCATGAAAGTGTTAGAGTAAACTAACCAAAATCTCAAGGTGCACTCTCCTCAAACAGAAAATCTTCAGCGAACAAACCAAACACATTCTTTGCAGAGCCCAGGAACTTTTATATCACTTTGAGAAAATATACTATATAAGTTAAAGAAAATAAATGATAGAATAGAAATAGTACAATGTATTGGATTACAGTACCTCTTCAAGTATAATTTAAAATTGCATTAATAGTCTCCTTATTGGAACAAGCTTACTAATTTTGTGTCACAGAAACATTTTTTTTTCAAAAGGCATGTGCAGCCCTGGCCTGTGTGGCTCAGTTGGTTGGACATCCTCCCAGGCAACAAAGGGTTGCCAGTTCAATTCCCAGTCAGGGCACATGGGCAGGTTGTGGACTCCATCCCCGATAGGAGGCATACAGGAGGCAGTCGATAGATGTTGTGCTCTCACAATGATATTTCTTTCCCTTCCTCTCTCTCCAAAAATCAATAAACTATTCTTTTCTTTAAATGGCATGTACAATTAGGCATCCATTAAAATAGTACAGGTATGATTGTTGTGCTTTCAATCTACGGAGCATTTTTTTTCTCTCTTACAAAAATTCCAGAGCTTTTATACAGACAGAACTTAAAGGTGCCCATGTCAGTGGTTCTGAATTTATTCTTTAAAATGACTGTGAGAAAAACAAGGAATTCTTTGGATCCTGACTCAGCATATTTATCTTATTGACTTTTAGTCAATATGTTTCTATTTACAACATACGAAATACTCTCACCAGGACAAAGGTCCCAGCGCTGCTAAGTCAAACCGCAAACTCTGGCAGGTGAGCAAATAGCCGAAGCCAGGGTCTACTCGAATGGTTTACACTCTTAGAGGTCAAGTTCAGACCCAATCTGCCTGAGATGCCTTGTAACACTGATTTGCATTAGCAGGTAGCTGACGAGATCTACCTGCAAGGACCAGAAACATGCACTGCGCCATCCAGAAGGCAGAAGTGCTGGATGGGGCTCATCTGATGCAGATTCTCTGGCAGGATGGTACGGAGTCCTTCTACCCTGCCGTGTGGCTGCGGGACAACTGCCAGTGCCCCAGCTGCTACCTGGATTCTGCAAAAGCACGGAAATTTCTCGTGGAATCTCTTGATGTGAACATTGGTATTAAAGACTTGTCTTTTGACAGAAAAAGGGTAATTATCTCTAAATTACCATTTCTCCCTTCCTTCCCAAGATAAATAAAGGGGTGGATGTCCAATAATGTAAATAATGAATTATTATTGGATCATACATGTCATCAGGCTTGGGTAGTGCTGGGTGCAAAGTAAGTCTGCTCAGTAACTGAAAGATTCTGTTATTATTCCTACTATTTTTATTACTGTGACTATTGTTCATAAAATCTAATGTTGCTCATTATTCCTTTAGTGACTGACAGCCTTAAAGACGCAAACAAACTATTTCTATAATAAAAAGAATGCTCCTGGGCCTTGGTCTACTCATCTGTGAACTAGGGGTACTAACAGAATTTGTTCAGAGAGATAATGTGAGGATTCAATGAGATAATATGGGTAAAATGTTTCTCCTAGTGCCTAGCATTATAGTAAGCACTCAAAATTAGTGAGTAGCTGTGCAAGGATTATTCTAGAATTCCCAAAAGCATAGCTCTCAAAACCACAAACTAGATGTGGCCACCATCCTATGTTTCTCTCTTCCAAATACTAGGATAATTACCAGAGAAGCAAAGGTGACCAGCAAGGTCACCCTCCTCACACCCTTGTCTTCATCTCCACTGGAGCACTTTACTCCCAGGGTTCTCTGCATGCTAGTTGTGTGACCATAGAAATAGTATTTACTCCTACATCCCCCACCTGAAATAATGTCAATGATAGTAATGCCTTCTCCCTAGAGTTGCATGAGGACTAATGAGTTATGTCTGTAGTGCTCATTATACAGTATGCACTCAATGTGGTGTTATTTTGTGCTATTATTATTATCTGCCTGGTCACATCATTACTATTTCTGATACTCTAACTTCAAGTCATGGCAAAAAGTTTGGAAATCACAGGTTTAGAGAATACAGAACAAGAATGTCAGGTCTAGCCAGGTTTTATTGCTTGTGTGATATTTAAGGGGCCTCAGAACTCAGATAGATCCCAGTGGCTTTCAGTGATCTTGTTTTTCAAAAGCTTATTCTATGCCTGTGCGTACATATGCAAAAAGGGCGGGGGGGGGGGGGAATTGATTCCCTGATTATCTTAAATGACATCCAGAAACAGGGCAATAGTGGAGAACTAAGTATACAGAAGCATAATATACATATAGGTGATATTTGCTTTCTGTGTTATAAGGTTCTTATCACATGGCCAAGCGAACATTACAGTGAATTTGAAGCTGATTGGCTGAAGAAGAGATGCTTTTCACAGCAGGCCAGAGAAAAACTCCAAAGAGAATTGTTTTTCCCAGGTAACCTTGTCATGGTCTTCAATGTCGTTTAAAACTCGTATGGGAAGAAATTTGCTCAGAATCAAATTCAAACCCCTGTGCTTTTGTTAAAATGTTATGGTAATTTATGTGGAATGGCTAATGATTTACCAACACAGGTCATTTGGATAGTGATGAAAAGAAATATAGATCCATTCTAGACATTCTCAAGAGACAGGAAGGAAAGAAACACAGCAAACTTGTATCCTTGTCATATGCTGTGAAACCTGGCACAGCAGACATTCTGAAAGTGTCCGCTGCATAGTGGCAGAACAAACCAGAGTTGCCCTTCTTAATAATTTGACCCAAGGCCAGAATAACACCAAATCAATAACGCAGGAATTCCTAACCTGGTATCCACAGATAAAATTGTGTGATCCATGAACCCCATGCTGTGTTTATATGAGTGTCTTTGTGTGTGTTTGTATGCATGTGTGTAAGTGTGCACAGCACATTTGCTTGGGGAAAATTTATATGGGTCTCTAGGGAACCTGTGACCACATAAATGTTCAGGAAATCTGCATTAATGAATGCTATGGAGAAAAAAAGACTTCATTCTTGAGCAGAGAGACAAGATAAAATAAATATTAATATAGGTATTTTTAAAGTATGACTCTTAGGAGATACACAATAATTACAGCTCAAGAAGAGGCACTAAAGAGAAGTGGGAAGTGTTAATAATTCACACTCTGTGTATTTTGAAAATTTGTATCAAAGATTATGTGGGACAAAGGCAAATTCTAGAAACATGATGATTATGTATTTTCTAGAATCTCAACTTCTACAAACACACTAACAATCTTTTCCACTGTTAACCGGAAATATTGGACCTCTGCCTCTTTGACCAGGCTCCTTGAATTTTGTAACACCTCTCTGGGAATTCTGGGTCATATCCCAAGATCAAAAGATAGTACCTTACTCCTTTCAATTCTGAAAATCTCAGATGTGTGCAGTAACTCTCCGTGCTTTTAAATGCTAGGCTTACTAGTATAACAGTTTGGTAATGGGTAAGGAAATGTTACTAATTAATCAACTTCAACCACACAGCTTGACCTTGTCCTGTGGTTATCAACAGGGTATGACTGTTCCTTCCACTTCAAGCATAGGCCAGTCTTGCAAAGAACTAGGTCCCTAGCCCTAGCCGGTTTGGTTCAGTTAGATAGAGCATTGTTCTGCAGACTGAAGGGTCCTGGGTTTGATTCTGGTCAAGGGCACATGCCTCAATTGTGGGCTCAATCCCCAGTGGAGAGGGAGGGTGCAGGAGGTAGCCGATCAATGATTTTTTTCTCATCATTGATGTTTCTATCTCTCTTTCCCTCTCACTTCCTCTCTGAAATCAATAAAAATAAATAAAGGAACTAGTTACTTCTAGTCCAGCAGTTCTCAACCTGTGGGTCGTGACCCATTTGGGGGTTGAACGACCCTTTCACAGGGGTCACCTAAATACATCCTGCATATCAGATATTTACATTACAATTCATTACAGTAGCAAAATTACAGTTATGAAGTAACAACGAAAATAATTTTATGGTTGGGAGTCACCACAACATGAGGAACTGTATTAAAGGGTCGCAGCATTAGGAAGGTTGAGAAGCACTACTCTAGTCCCTTAGCCTCACCATTCTGACAACTGACACAATTTTGTTCCAGTGCTTTCTGTCTAAACCACCAGGAATCATTTTCCTCTTTCTCAAGCCCAGCCAGCTGGCGGGATCCATATGAGTACCCAGGGAAATATGTTTTTCTTGCCTTCCCCAGTGAGTGCATTGCTAGTTACTTCACAGACTCTCCAGTTACATAACCGAGTAGCAATTGGGTCAAATAGCAGAATCACAAATGTATTATTATTTTCTTTAAATTTCTTCTGGCACTCAAAATACTTTTCTTTAACCCTGCCCTAATTTTGTAATCCTGTTGGATTTTACTTTCATTTCCTTCAGGCTCTTCTTTTAATTATTTCAGGGAATAAAAGCCAACTTCTTATTATTACAGCTTAAGCTTTTAAGCATTATAAAAGGATATGGCCACCCCCCTCCCATTAATATTGCTTGACGAGCACAGTTTATAGCTTACATTTCTCAATGCTATCAGGCAGTAGCAAAATGGAAATGATACCACACTCAGTTAAGTAGTGGAAAAAGCTGGTCACACGGCAATCATGAATAATATAAGGAGAACTGGCTGCTATTTAGACACTGGAAAATATTTTAATGGTTTAAAACAAGATCAGATTTTTAAAATATATTCTCAAGCTGTGCAGTTGGTGGGTTAAAGTAGAAATTAATGGGCCATTTTAGAGAGTATTGCTTTTATGGCTTTTTGCCCGTAGAACTTGACACGTTATTTTACTGTCGCTGCATATTTTCAAACATTTGTACTCCAGAACATGTAAACAGACTCAGTGACATTTGTGAAAGGCCTTTGTTAGGTTTTCGGTCCTCAGTGGCAATTCCTCCTCTTCTGCACTTTCCTTAGAGTGAGGAGAGCCTTTTAAAATCTGGCGTCAAGATGCAGACCACTTTCCCTTGATCTTCCCTTGGCACTGGATGTGGAACTCAAAATTGAAGAGACAGATGATAATCTGCCAGAAAAGGCTTTTGTCATGGGACAGGCACAGCTGGGAGGAAGACGTGGATAATAATCATTCCCTCACAATGTCCTCTCCAGTGGCACATAGATTGGGTACCTATTTTGTGCTGGAAGCTCTTTAAGGAAATACCAAGTTAAATAGATAGATAGATAGATAGATAGATAGATAGATAGATAGATAGATAGATAGATTCTGTCCTCCAGGATGTATCAAATCTAGGAGGGTGCACAAGCCATGAAAACAAATAAGTAAAATACATTAAGTCCATGACGGCACGCATAGAAGGTTAATTACAACATAGAGGAAGGAATCTGAAGAGATGAGAAAAGGGTCCCCAAAGGGAAGTCATGGTTTAGCTGGATTTTGAAGAATCAGTTTGTCAGACAAAGATAGAGAGTCAAGAAATTCTCAACAGAGAAAAAGGCCTGTGGAAAATCACAGAAGTATAAAATAGCAGAGTAGGTTTAGGAATCTGCAATTAGTTCAATGCTGGTAAAGTTAAAATTATTAGTCCACAGGACAGAAGGAAGGAGCCAAACCATGAAGAGGCGTAAGTTCCTATTAAGAGTCTCAGTCCTAAACCATTTGGCAAGGGAGTTTCTCAACATAGAGCTCAGGTATATTCCCTCCATTAGTTCTCAGTCTTATGTTATAAAGCCAGAGAAATGAGTTTAAGATCCTGATAAATTTAATAAGAAGATTACTTTGCTTTTTTTTTTAGAATGCATTTTACAGAGTTGAATCCTTCTGATTTTGACCAAAGGTATATAATTTCTTAAATGCTTATACATTTGTGAATGTCTCCTTAGCATTGTTTTTCTCTTGTTGCATTCCCCTTTCTCCACTGTACCCCTTTGTTTCTTGGTTTGTATTCATTTTACAAAAGACAGTAAAGTGACTGGATCTGTGTTGTAGAAAGGTCCTGGCCTGGTCATCTGTGTTGAATGGACTGGTCTGGGTAGTGACTGGGAGCAGGGTGACCATAGCACAGCCTAGAAATGATCCTGCAAAAGACACTGAGAGGCTAAACCAGGGAAGTAGCAAACAGGATGGGGGTAGAATCTATATTCAAGAGAAACATATAACAACCTGTAAGATAGGAAGTCAGTTGTCCTGTTCTTTAATCTCTACCAAAACACTAATTCCAACAGATATAAGCACCCTGTATTTATTGCAATGTTATTCTCAATAACCAATATATGGAAACAACCGATGTGTCCATTGATATATGAATGGATAAAGATGTCTCACACACACACTAGACTTATTGTTGGGATCACTTTGTAGTATATACAAAGATCAAATTATTATGCTATATACCTAAAACTAATATAATGTTATGTACCAACTAAAGACCTGGTGCATGAAATTTGTGCACTTGGGGGAGGGAAGGGTGTCCCTCAGCCCAGCCTGCACCCTCTCCAATCTGGGACTTCCTGGGGGATGTCCAACTCACAATCCGGGACTGCAGGCTCCTAACTGCTCACCTGCCTGCCTGCCTGATTGCCCCTAACAGCTCCCTTGCCAGCCTGATCACCCCCTAACCCAGGGGTCCTCAAACTTTTTAAACAGGGGGCCAGTTCACTGTCCCTCAGACCATTGGAGGGCCGGACTATAGTTTAAAAAAAATATATAAACAAATTCCTATGCACACAGTGGTGGCAAAAACACCCGGCGGGCCAGATAAATGTTTTCGGCGGACCGCATGTGGCCCGTGGGCCGTAGTTTGAGGACCCCCGCCCTAACCACTCCCCTGCCAGCCTGATCAATGCCTAACTGCTCCCCTGCTGGCTTGATCACCCCCAACTGCCCTCCCCTGCCAGCCTGGTCATTCCTAACTGCCCTCCCCTGCAGGCCTGGTCCCCCCTAACTCCCCTTCCCTGCTGGCCTGGTCACCCCTAACTGCCCTCCCACACCGGCCATCTTGTGGTGGCCATCTTGTGACGACATGGGCACGGCCATCTTGTGACCACATGGGGGCGGCCATCTTGTGTGAGGGCATGACAGTCAATTTGCATATTACCGCTTTATTATATAGGATTTTACCTCAATTTAAAAAATAATAAATAGAAAAATGTTTAAATTAATAACATCCTGGCCATGTGTTTTTAATTATATATTTTAAAAGCTGATGTATTTAAAAGCTTTTAAAAAGTTTGAGGATATTTTTGAGAACCTAAAGCAAATCTATTTCAAGGAAGAATTATTACAGTCTACTTCCTTTTCATGTGTTTTTTTTTTTTTTTCAGTACACTTACCACATCAAAAATTAAGGAAAATATACCTTTTTTACTATTGGAAAAACAATTTTCTATAGTTACACTAAAGTAAATTTCCTTTTTATGTTTCTATTTTTTTTCAAACAGAGTAAAAGTAGAATGAGCTCTGTTCA